GAGCAAGGCTTTGGACATGTTTTTATCAGAGTATAACATTATAACATGATATAAAACTCGAAAAAGTTGATTTTACATGATTTTTTCCCCTTTAAAAATTTACTAAAAGTCTAAGTATACTTAGTTTAGTACTTAGTTTATGCTTATGTTTATACTTTTGGCCAAGATAAACTTATGTAGTAGAACAATGAAAGTACATTTTAATGATGTCCTGTTTTTAAATAATTTCTTGTCAGTTTTTGGAATAAAAGCAACAAGCGAGCTGCTGCAAAGACGACTATGGACATTTGAACAATCGAACAAATTTACACAACAGCTCAGTGGACTGGGATTATTCTTTCTGTGCATGTGTGGGTTTTCTCCAAACACTCCAGCTTCCTCCCACAGACCAAAACCATGACTGTTAGTAACTCTAAATTGTCCCTGTGTGTGACTGAGAGAGTMGTTGTTTGTCTCATTTGTATACTTTAGTACACTTATTGAAATGTACTTATACTTCTTTTTGGTAAAGGCAGAAACTTTAATCCCCAAAGTTCTTCTCAAGAAAAGCTCCAAGATAAATTTAAGTCAATATGACAAAAAAAAAAAAAAAGATTTACGTATCTATCAAACCTGGTTTAAATGTTTAAAGGGATATTTGCAGAAATCCACCTGAAACGATGCAAAGTTAAGCTAACAGACTTTCTGCAGGACAAAGAAGTTCACATGAGGAGGTCAGAGAAACATGTTCATACATCAACAACTCCCTCACCTGACAGAGCAAAGCTTCTGTTTGTATTTTCAGAGCTCCTGATGAGAAAAGCACCGGTCTGGTTCCCTTCAGCCAGCAGCATCTTCTCTGCGTGCTGRCTGTCTGTGTTTGGAAAATACCACCTGAAGGCACAAAGCAACCAGTTAATCCAGTAAAACTCCCTGCATCTGTATTTAATCAAGTCTTCAAGTTTTCTTTTATTGGTCAGTTAATGATTTTACATCTCTTCAGACTTGAACACCAGTTTTACACCTCGCTCTGATGAAYACTAACAAGTTTAACATGAAAACATCAAGTGTGTCTGAAGGGACATGAAATCATTAAGTAACAAAAGAAAATTTTAAGACTTGATTCAGTAAAGTATGGAGGACAAAAACTGACATAACTAAAAATAAAAGCAGAAATATTTAAATGAACCAATTAATACATAAATACACTTAATTGCGCCAATTCAATTAAAAATAAGAACTTTACCTCATGTGAACTGATTCAGATTTAATCAGGAACATTCATAAGTAAAATATAAGCAAGTGAATTTGTTTTAAACTAAACTCTAAGTTTAGGTTAAACTGAGGCAGCAGAAGCAGGCTCAGTCGATCTGCACCAATAGGAGAGGAGCTGAGAAGTCCCGCCCCCAGCTTATTTACATAATGAAGCAGGGAGACGTAAGGTAATGTAAAGACAGGAGACAGAGAAATGTAAAAGTGACACATGGGAAAGAAAAGACTTGTGGGAAAAATATATAAAAATACTAAATATAAACATTTAAGAGACACAAATGCATTTACAAGTAAAAGGAAAAACACATA